AACATGTTCTCGAGGTGGTCCTCGTTCAGGTTGTCGGACGGGAGCGACTTGGAGAACATGATAGTGAAGACTGAAGTCAGGATAGAGCCCATGGAGCTCATGAACAGGATGACGGCCTGAGCCATCGACTTCAACGACAGCGGCACGCTCGAGTACACGAGATCGTAGGCGGTAACGTTGATCAGACACTCGGCCAGACCGATGAAGACGTAGTTGGGAATAGCAGCGGCCCACGAAATGTCGTTCATGGGCTCCGAGCTTCCACCATCAAGAATTGGGTCTCCATTCGCGTCTTCGAGGGCGCCGGCGTTACGACGGATCACCTCGAAAATACCAGCCCAGAAGATACCGATGATGGCGATGATGAGGCCAATAGCAGACTTGCCGAACTGAGAAGGAGACTTGCCAACCCTCTTGGTGTACAGCGGGTACACGATCGAGTCTAGAATGGGAATGCAGATGACAATGACAATCGGATCAAACACTCCGAGCATGGCACCAGGGATCTGTTTGCTGTCCGGGTCGCTCCTGTCGAGACGCAGGTCGCACTGCTGTGTGATGGACTGGAAGTTGGCATCCGTCTGGTCGTACGCGCAGTTCCAGATGATCGTGAAGGCGGCGTACGGGAGCACCCGCACCAGTTTCTTGTACCCCTCGACACGCTCGTCGTCGAAAGTGCCGCCCATGCTGCTCTTAGACACATCCAGGAAGGATTGGTCCTGACCGGCGTACACCCAGCCTACAATACCGGCGAGAACCAGCACGGCAGCTATGTACGACATGATGTTGCCAACGTCCGCCTTGTCGACGGTGAAAGCCGAAATGACGTTGACAACCAACGCAGCCAGGAAGCAGAAAGTGGCCGAAACGAGGATGAAGCCATTGCGGGTCTGGTGAGCGTTGGCCCAGCCAAGACGGCACATCATCGAAATGGAACGATCGTTGGGCGGCATGAAGACATAGCGAGGGTAACCAACACATAGCATGGCGATAGCGAATAGCATCACGACTGCGCAGATCATGTACGTGGCAAAGTATCCGTATTCGGCGGGAATCTGTGCCGAACCATCAACGCACAGAACCGAAAGGTAACCGTACGAGAAGCCAGCGCCGATGTTGATACAGAAGTAAAAGTACGAGAAGTACGTCTCCTTCTGTTGTACCTCGCTCGGGTCGTGCGGGTCGAACTGGTCAGCACCGAGCGTGATCACGTTCGACTTGATAGCACCAGTACCGATGCCGATGCCGACAAACAAACCGATGATGAAGATCGGGTTCACAACAGCAGAATTCGTCATGACCGTCGGGTAGGCTGCAATAGCCACGAGGAAGTCACCGATGCAGTACCAGATACCGAATGTCAGGATCGTACGGAAGCGGCCCCATCGTTCATCGGCCAGGTAAGCACCGAACAGCGGAGTCAGGTAGCAAATGGACGTCCAGGTACTCTTCAAGGCACTGGCAGACACGAGACTCCATCCGATTTTCTGCATGAAGTTCTTGAGACCTTGGTTGATACCATAGTAACTGAGACGCTCGGCTAGCTCCATCATGAGGATGAAGGAACAGACTTGAAACAGGACGCTCTTGTATTTGCGTGGTCGAGCCTCCCACATGGTCTGCACGGGCTCGTAGGGCACTGCTGGTGACCCCATGGGCGACTTGAGGGGAGCACTGGTGACTCCCATGATGGTCTCGAGGTTCTTGTCGATGCGAGCGCTGGAGGTCCAATTGAGAAATGAACGAGTTTTCGACTGGCAGTGCACGGGCTCAGGACTGGATGCAAGAGACACGACAACCAAGACTTGCAAAAACTAGTCGTGACCTATTACGAAACAGGGTTCTTTGTTGACTGGATGCACTGACAGTGTGCCACAGGGAGCCACAAACATATTCCTACTGAAGTACACTGCATAACTTCACATTGTACTGTAACCCTGAAGGCGTAATCGCTATCAGTGCATTAATTTGGTTGTGCGAATGGTATGCCTTTCGCAAAAGTTTTTATTAACAGCTATTGCGCCGTGAGCAGACTACAACCACTTACAATGCGCCAGTACATCAGTAGCAAGGATCACTAAAGAGACGATTTCGTCTACAGATTCGTCTACTGTTGAGTGTATCAGGAGGATGGGTAACTCAATTCATTTGCTGCACCTCGACACTATCCACGACCTGACTGGAGGTAATTGAGCACTCGAGAACCAGAGCAAGAGTGAGCATCTAACGAGCATATGCATTCATGTATCAAGGGAAAAGCGGCGCTAAAACTCGTCGTCGATGTCTATTTCTTGATGTAGAACTGCTTGAGCATCTGTACAAAGCCACATCAGAATAATCTCCCACATAACTGACCAACAAGTCCACGTACCTCCTCTTCGAGCGGGTGCACCTCTCCCGTAATGGCCAGACAGTGCAGCGGAGCGCCAAAGTCGGCGGTCAGCAGCTCCTCCATGGTGCCGGCGATGATGGTCTGGTCCTTCTGGCCGAGACGTGCCATGCCTACGCAGATCGTGTCTTTACTGTAAGCTCCTTCCTGACGCTTCTCCTCGATTTCAATAAGCTGTTCAATAGCCTGATTCACCGTCATGAAGCGCGGCGGCAGGTAGACCGTGCGGCCGCGGCACATGGCCTCAAAGTCGGGCTCCTTCACCTTAATGTCCAGCAGACACAGCGTGTGCATGCCGCCGCGACGATTGTACTGGATCTTCTCATAGAAGCTATCGGGACGCCACTCGTCCCGGAAGAAGGGGATAGACACGGTCTGCCCGAACGAGTAGAGCTGCAGGCCACAGGAGCCCGCAGCGCCCATGACGGACGCGTTGTGGATCACTTCGACCTTGATATCCAGCTCCTTGGCGCGCAGAATCAGATCTGAGTGGGTCGTAGCGCAGAGCGGGTCGCCCACGACCAAGAAGGCCACGTCATCGTCCTTGGCATCGGCGAAAATCTGGTCAGCGCCGGTCTCGACGCAGTCGCGGTCGGCTAGAATCACCTCACGGCCATAGAACTCGCCCAATTTCTCCAGCTCTACGCCCAACACCGACGTGTAGTTCTCTAGGAAGACCTTCTTGGACTTCTTGATGGCGTTCAGACCACGCAGCGTCACGTCCTGCTCGTCGCCGAGGCCTAGACCAACCACATATAGCACCATAATGCACGGTTGCCAATCAAAAATGAAATGATGTGACACACACCAAGGTTACAAATAGTGTAACCCCTGTCAACATTGTTGATAGGAATGCTACAATAGTACTCGTCAACCTGCACAACTTAAATGGGAATGGAAAAAAATATTTCGAGAGATCTGATTGGCCGGGATGGCATTCAGACGAAAAAAACCCATTAAACATTTAATGGGTTTTTTTCGTCTGAATGCCATCCAACATTTTCATCGAAAGTTCTAACAAAAAAGGTGGCGCTTTTCGTCTCCATTCTGGTCTGCGCTGAGCCGGTGGCGAAAATGGAGACGAAAAGCGACCTCCGCATTTGGTGATCCTTCTTTTCTCGTTCAACTTGACATGCATGTCAAATCCGAAAAGAGCGGGACCACCAAAGGTTCCAATCAAAGTTCCGACACGCTGCTTGTCATCGCTTCAAGATTGGACGCTGCCTTCCTGCTCATCGAGACTCGCGAGGGCTTCACAGCGCTGTGCTTGCTAATGCATACCGCCCTCTCTACTTTAGTAGGAAACTGCAGAGCGCAAGGATTGGGGGCACCACATTCGAACCCCAACTCGGACCCAAGCTTGTCTTTGAAGCGCAGCGATCCCACCAAAATTCGGGCTGAGTATCCATAACGCGAAATCGCAGCAATTACGGTTAAGGATGTCGTGACCACCCGCGCTGATTAACGCACGTTTGTTGAAACCCTTTGACAAGACGCGAAGTTGGACGTGGAGTGGCTGGGTTTTCGCTAATGATCACTCGACGTACAGATAGCAATGCCATCGATAAAAATCTCTGCAGCTACTGTTAGTACTAGAGACAACCACGAAACCACATGCAAGTTAATGCCTCCCTTCAGTAGGTGCGCCTTCGAAGCATAGTAGCGCGCAAGCCAAATCTTAGTATTGTACACACTCATCGACAGCATAATTCAGTAATGTCGTTTTTCAGTCAAGAGCATCTCCTACAAGGAGATGTGCCTGTGCCTACAAGTCCAGTCGTTTGCAGGTCTCGGCACCCCATCACCAAATGCACGGCGCCTAGCTCACGCTGATATCGACGTTCCTTCCCTGTGTGGATTGGCAGCAGTGCACGCGCATTCAGGCCATTTCCAATTTCACCACTAGCGCGTAACTTGACCAGCTTTGAGACCTTCACAATGGGAATCACATCCGCTCCCATCAAATCACCCATGGGCTCGCCCGCGGTGCCCTATGAGACCACACAAACCGTGTGGGAGGCTCGACCACGCAAGTACAAGAGCATCTTGTTGGAGGTATGCCTCTTCATCCTCATGACGGAGCTAGCCGAGCGTCTCAGTTACTACGGTATCAACCAAGGTCTCAAGAACTTCATGCAGAAAATCGGATGGAGTCTCGTGTCTGCCAGTGCCTTGAAGAGTACCTGGACGTCCATTTGCTACCTGACTCCGTTGTTCGGTGCTTACCTGGCCGATGAACGATGGGGCCGCTTCCGTACGATCCTGACATTCGGTATCTGGTACTGCATCGGTGACTTCCTCGTGGCTATTGCAGCCTACCCGACGGTCATGACGAATTCTGCTGTTGTGAACCCGATCTTCATCATCGGTTTGTTTGTCGGTATCGGCATCGGTACTGGTGCTATCAAGTCGAACGTGATCACGCTCGGTGCTGACCAGTTCGACCCGCACGACCCGAGCGAGGTACAACAGAAGGAGACGTACTTCTCGTACTTTTACTTCTGTATCAACATCGGCGCTGGCTTCTCGTACGGTTACCTTTCGGTTCTGTGCGTTGATGGTTCGGCACAGATTCCCGCCGAATACGGATACTTTGCCACGTACATGATCTGCGCAGTCGTGATGCTATTCGCTATCGCCATGCTATGTGTTGGTTACCCTCGCTATGTCTTCATGCCGCCCAACGATCGTTCCATTTCGATGATGTGCCGTCTTGGCTGGGCCAACGCTCACCAGACCCGCAATGGCTTCATCCTCGTTTCGGCCACTTTCTGCTTCCTGGCTGCGTTGGTTGTCAACGTCATTTCGGCTTTCACCGTCGACAAGGCGGACGTTGGCAACATCATGTCGTACATAGCTGCCGTGCTGGTTCTCGCCGGTATTGTAGGCTGGGTGTACGCCGGTCAGGACCAATCCTTCCTGGATGTGTCTAAGAGCAGCATGGGCGGCACTTTCGACGACGAGCGTGTTGAGGGGTACAAGAAACTGGTGCGGGTGCTCCCGTACGCCGCCTTCACGATCATCTGGAACTGCGCGTACGACCAGACGGATGCCAACTTCCAGTCCATCACACAGCAGTGCGACCTGCGTCTCGACAGGAGCGACCCGGACAGCAAACAGATCCCTGGTGCCATGCTCGGAGTGTTTGATCCGATTGTCATTGTCATCTGCATTCCCATTCTAGACTCGATCGTGTACCCGCTGTACACCAAGAGGGTTGGCAAGTCTCCTTCTCAGTTCGGCAAGTCTGCTATTGGCCTCATCATCGCCATCATCGGTATCTTCTGGGCTGGTATTTTCGAGGTGATCCGTCGTAACGCCGGCGCCCTCGAAGACGCGAATGGAGACCCAATTCTTGATGGTGGAAGCTCGGAGCCCATGAACGACATTTCGTGGGCCGCTGCTATTCCCAACTACGTCTTCATCGGTCTGGCCGAGTGTCTGATCAACGTTACCGCCTACGATCTCGTGTACTCGAGCGTGCCGCTGTCGTTGAAGTCGATGGCTCAGGCCGTCATCCTGTTCATGAGCTCCATGGGCTCTATCCTGACTTCAGTCTTCACTATCATGTTCTCCAAGTCGCTCCCGTCCGACAACCTGAACGAGGACCACCTCGAGAACATGTTCTTTACAGTGGGTGCCGTCAGTGTTATTAATTTCGTCTTCTTCGTGATCATTATGAAGAAGATGAATATGGGCATGTCTTCTTCGCCAGAGATCGACCATCTCGGCAACGAGATCATAAACGAGAAGATCTCGGTGGGTTCACGTCAAAGTATCTCGAATGTCAAGTAAGACCTCAGCCTGCTATTTTTTCTGATGTGTGTGTGTGTGTGTTTTATTTTTAAGAAAGCTAGTATCGATAACAATCATCGACATTTTTGGGTTAAATCACCTTAAGTTGGGGTTTTATGTTTAGAAAATTTCTAAACATAAAATTCCTTTAAGAAATGTCTAAGAAGAAAGAAATGTAAAACATCCAACTTCACGCGCATCATACATGTAGCCATGCTGCTAGCGACGCCGTAGCGTTGTGAAGGCGCTCTCTTTGGGAGATGGCGAATGTATAGTTAACACCTGGATATTCACTGCGCTCGGCTTGGAATTCATGCGGCATACTATGCTTACTATGCTCGTTTACTTGGATTGCAGGTGATGACAACGTACAGGTGTTGTCGTTGGATGGACTTACTATTTCAGAAACGAAAAACAAATTATACAAGGCGAGACGTGTATTTAACGTTATGACTGGGTGGGCGGCAACCTCCGCCAGCCATCGTATTCAACGTGCAGCAAGAGCAGAGCACAGGCGGATATACCTTGGCCACAACTAACTGTCAGTACAGGGCCAGACGGTGTGCCTTCATCAAAGTCACTCCAGTCAGAGAAGCTTCTTGGAGCTGGCAACGCAGCCGTACACGCCCGTATCAAGTAGCGAGCAGTACGCGCCACTAGGACAGTCACCGTCACTTACTTGAGCCACGCAGACGTGGTCGGAGTCGATGCAGCCATCGTGATCCCATCCCACAACGCCGATCGTTTCTTCATTGCTGGAGCAGCCCTCCCAAGGAGTCGATTCCTCAGCACCATCCTTGCATCCGTAAACACCCGTATCAAGCCACTCGCAGTGAGCTCCAGACGGGCAGTCACCGTACGTCTCGGCAACGCACACATTGCCCGAAGTGACGCACCCGTCCGAGCTCCAGCCAGCGACGCCAATACTCTCCTGTCCACTGGGGCATGACATCTTTTGGTGCTCCTTGTGGTGGTGGTGATGGTGATGGTGGTGCTTCTTAGCGCTGGCGACGCAGCCGTAGACTCCAGTATCGAGCAGCGAACAATACGCGCCACTAGGACAGTGACCATCACTTACTTGCGCTACACACACGTAGTCGGAATCGATGCAGCCATCGTGGTCCCAACCCACAACTCCAATAGTTTGTTCATTACTAGAGCAGCCCTCCCAAGGAGTCGATTCCTCAGCACCATCCTTGCATCCGTAAACGCCAGTGTCGAGCCATTCACAATGAGCTCCTGACGGGCAGTCACCGTACGTCTCGGCAACACAAACGTTACCCGAAGTGACGCACCCGTCCGAGCTCCAGCCAGCGACGCCAATACTCTCTTGTCCGCTGGGGCATGACATCTTTTGGTGCTCCTTGTGGTGGTGGTGATGGTGGTGGTGGTGCTTCTTAGCGCTGGCGACGCAACCATAGACGCCAGTATCGAGCAACGAGCAGTACGCGCCACTCGGACAGTCACCGTCACTCACCTGAGCAACACAAACGCGGTCGGAGTCGATGCAGCCATCGTGATCCCAACCCACAACGCCGATAGTCTGCTCGTTGTCAGCACAAGTTCCATCGTCGACGTATTGTATGTCTTCAGGGGATCCGGCCGTGCACCCGTAGACGCCCGTGTCTAGTAGAGCACAGTAGGCTCCTTCGGGGCAGTCACCGTCGCTCACTTGAGCCACACAGACATTGCCGGTAGCAACGCAGCCATCGTGGTCCCAGCCAGCAACACCGATCGTTTGTTCACCGTCCGCACAGTACGAGGTGGTTTCCTGGGAATCCCACGAATCGTCGTAGTCACCGCCAGTCGTGCACCCGTAGACACCCGTGTCTAGTAGAGCACAGTAAGCTCCCTCGGGGCAGTCACCGTCACTCACTTGAGCCACACAGACGTTGCCAGTAGCGACACAGCCATCGTGGTCCCACCCAGCAACTCCGATGGTTTGCTCACCATCGCCGCACGTGGCCGTGGATTTCGTGTGCACCCGGACTCGAAGACTTGTCGCGGACACATTGGGGGTCGTCGTCACTAGCCCCAGCGAGACTGCGGCAACCAGGACTTTCACCGACAGCATCTTGACTTGATATCAACTTGGAACGACTGGACTTGAGGATATCGCGGTGAATTCGAGAATGGCGAGCAATGCAGCGGCGGCAAAGCGTTGGAGGTGGAAATATATACCACTACATACGAACAGGAAGACAAACGGAGGAGATATCTTCTTAGCCACCAGTGATTCACTGGCAGTGAACCCACCGAGTGGCGAGGAGATCTCGTTGAAAAGGCAAAAAATGGATCTTGCGCGACGGTTTGGAAAAGATATGGTCGGTGGCTGCATTTTTTTTTTATTGCTAGAAGACCCAGATAGAGCTTCTCGCTGGACTCCTCTTGCCATCTTTTTGTCACCTGAGTTGAACCCTGAACAGTCGAAGCATGATACAAGTATAATATTGCAGTAACTACGTGGCTTATTTCTCGTGGAGAAGCTCTGATCAACCTTGAGTATGCTGTGCCGCATAGTATGTGGACATGATTTTGGTAACTGTAAATGACATGTGCCTTTTACAGTTACGAGAATCTTGTCACCCTGATTTCCACGGATCTATCTCTCTGCTGAGCCCTGATGAAGCTCCTCTTGGCAGCTTCGTGACAATTATCATCACAAAAGACATGACAGGTCTTCACAGCTTCATCTTGAAGAACAGAGCACAGAGCTTTCGTCTTTGATCACACTGTTGAATTCAAAGAGTGCGTGCGCTCCTAACAGTGATACACTTTACCTATTACTAATGTTAGTTGCCAAATGGCTGGGAAAATTGTATTGGGTATGTTTCGATATAATCAATCTTCCACTCACGCGCTACGATTCTAGCAGCGGCCATCGAATTTCTTAGCGATGTGCTTTTCTGGGTTTTTGCAGCTGGCAATACCCAACGCGCACGAGTTGCTGTACGTCACGCCGTCGGTGCCGCATACAGGAGCGTACACGTCAGGACAAGCTTGATCGCACTTCGGGGCAGTGTTGCTGAAACGGGGGAGCCCGGGGCCTTCCAGGAAAGCGGGGTTCTGAGTTGGTAGCGAGTGGGGATCGACAGTGTGGTAGTTGTTGCTACTAGGGGAGCCAGCCAGCTCATTCATAGCCTTCTTGAGCTCCGGGTTGTCACCAGCGGGCGTTTGGGGACCAAGTCCCTCAAGATAAGCTGGGTTCTCAATCGGCAGAGTATTGGGGTCGACGGTGTGGGTGTTGGTCGAGTCTAGCTGACGGTGGTCTTTGATGGGCACCTGAGGGCCGAGGCCGTTCAGGTAAGCAGGGTTTTGAGTCGGCAGCGTGTTTGGGTCGATGGTGTAGTAGTTCCCATTTCCAGAAGCAGCCTTCCAGTCTGCCGATAACTCCTCCATTTCCTTCTGCTTGTCGACAGGGATACTTGGGCCTCTAATGGTGGTAGGATCCAAGTAAGTGAGAGTCTTTGGGTCCAAAGTCTGGGTGTTGGTGGACTCGGCGGAGGCACTGGCGGCGGCAAATGCGATTGCGACAAGTCCAGAGGCAAACTTCATCTTGAGAGGAGGAGCGGTGTGTGGTAGCGCTTGCAAAATTGAGAATGGTAATGTAGCGGCCACCCCAGTTTCGTTGTTGTCCTGGGTGTATGCTTTTCCCGATGATACAGTACGTGTAATCGTGATTACGAGGTCGAAGTTGTAGATCTTCGTTGCGTTGTCAATGCGCAGGAAACCATTGAATATGGGAGTCTGACTAAGCAATTCGAACAGGAAAAGAAGCCGTCACGTGCCCATGATAAAGCGCACGATGGATTGCGGGCTACCCGTGATCCGTTATGTACGGACCGTAAAAAAAAAGTATAATAGCTGTAAGACACAAAGAGAGTATTTTTCGTTGCAATGCGTAGAACCAGCAATTCTCCTCGTTGTATCAACGTGCCAGCTAAATTTAAGTGCCTGTGCTCAAACACCTAAGTTTTCCGACTATTTGTGTATTTTTCCAAATAAAATGAGTTGGGACTGCTTCGAGAAGATTGATCACGTGAGCTCAGCTTAACTATTTGCTCAGCATCGAGAATACCGATTTATCTGAGAACAAATTGAGGCTAGTTATACTTCACACCTCATTTTGAGGGTGATCTCAACCCAGTCAACACATCTGAGCAGGAAGAGCTTTTGTTGCCTTGTACTAGTAGCACCAGACTCCTTACGAGTAGCACAGTAAATGATAAGATTATATTTGCGGCCCATTATTATTTTTATTATTATTATTATTATTATTTTAATTCTATCTACCAAAGCCAATTGCACTCGGACGAGGCATTACCTCTACTCCTGAACCTACCACCGCAATGCTTAGCTGGTGGCGGCGGCTGTCCACATTAACGCTTTCGTAGTCAGTATTCGCAGTTTGTTCGGCTAGCGAAAAAAAAACACTTACTGGAGAATGCGACGCGTTAGTGTAAATTGACCTCGGCGGGCAGGATATCATACTGTCGTCGACCCTATTCGATAGGGTAGACTATCCTTTTGCATCTTGTAGCCCTTCGTCTCCTGCCGTCTCGACACCATAGTCTGGCAGCTAGCTCAGCTGTGAGCAAGACTCAAAGTGCAAGCATGCAATTATTCTGTGGTTCTGTTACAACCGCGATTTTATTTCTAGAGCATACCGACATTTAGCTCATTCCGAGAACGAGTTCTAACAGGGTGCTGTGAAGGCAGTAGTCAAATGACAACGCAGAGCCGTAATGTGGTAGACATGCATGAGGTGCTGAAGATTAACAAGATATTCGCCCGACGTTGTGGACTTGCCAGTTGGTTAAACAAAAATGCTTTTGGTGGTCACCAATAGTATTCTCACATCAAACATTAGTACTAACAGTGTTCTAGATCGCGAGATAAAAAAAAATAGAATAAGAGTACAAAAACATAATGCTCCAGTATTACTATACTATAATATTTGGTGGATATCATTCTACTACAATCCCTGGCTTTATTGAAATGATCTCTGTCTCCACCAGTATTATTGATACACCTGCTTGAGGTCAATATTAATGCTTTAAATACTGATACATCAAAATAATAAAATTATTTAAGAGAAAAATATATATTTGTAGATTCACAACTTTCCTAACTGTAAATATGGGGCGCTGGCAGCTGTGGGTAAACCCACGTGTGGCCGAGAGCGACCGATGGCACTCGAGCCGCGTGGGGCTTGTGCGCTCGTCAGCGATTCTGGGCGATCACTTGGTTTCGGAGCTGCGGGAGTTGGCACGCGCGTCTGACGACGACATGGCGCTGGCACGCGCAGGTCAATTCTTGAATAAGAAACTGCGGAGATTCGAAGATGAAAGTCGCTTGTTGCTGCGACTTGCGGATTCAGCTCGAGTTATTGTACTGCTACAAAGGGCAATTGAGTCGGTTTTGGACCAGTTGGAAAGTGAACTTCGTGATAATTGGGATCGTAATTTGGAGTCTGAACGGGCGGAGTTTATCCAAAAAATTGACGAAATATTACGAGATGAGGAGAAATTGACAAATGAACTGGGAAATAACAACCGACAATTGCAGATTATGACACTATTGAAGTACCAATTGGACCAGTACAGTCACGTCCTGACGCCGAGGGAGCTGGACGTTGTATGCGAGGTTTTTGACACGATAGGCCGGCGTGGAAATGTGATGGTAGGAGCTCTACCACATTGGTTTGCGGCGTCGGAGCTAGAGTGGTTCCGAGCCAAAACGACCGTCGTGGAAGAAGGAGAAGAAGCTTGTGAGCGACAGGCTGCTGTTTGGGCCAAGCTTCACCATCCAAACGTACGAAAGTTTTTCGGTGCGTGTCACGTAGGAACCCCATTCATGATCCACGAAGCGTGCAGTGCATTGCCACTATTAAATCAAACAATTAAGAGGACGAGGGGGCGAAGAAAGACACGACGTGAGCGAGCTATTGACAAAAAGCTGAGTAAAAGTGAAGAACTTGCACACCGGAAGGAGACGCAGACGTGGAGACATGTACTTGGCTGCGCTCTAGGTCTTCAATATGTTCATGAACGAGGACTTGTACATGAACGATTGACTGTAGATAACCTACTTTATTCACAGGCGTCACAGAAAGGAGTTTTGAGTGGAATGGGCTTGGTACGTCGACGTAATTTTGGTAGCTTAGATTTCCACGATGCGGATCCTTTGGAGTCGTCGGATATTTTCGCATTTGGCCTGGCGATTTTTGAAATTCTCGTGAAGGACCGCTCGCCAGACAAGATTGCAACTCGCAATTCAAATTTTGACAATCTTCCAGACGTTCGACCGGATTTTATTAAGAGAACCGAATGGGATCTTCTTCTACGCATGTGTACGCCTGACTTAGTTGATAGTATCAGTATGCCGGATGTTGTACATCAGCTAAGTGTGTTGGCAAGACGTGATGCTCCTATGACTACGAGACTACCCCATGATACTCCAGCTACTGTTGAAGACGTAAGTGGGTACGAAATCCAGACACTGGGGATGACCCTTGAAGCAACGTTGCATGAAATTGAGCAAATTTGTGATGAGACGGACTGTGGAAGCTTCAACAATGTGAATCGTCCTGTATGTGACCGCATAATGGACGTGTACCAACATCTTAAAGCTAGTCCGGATTCAGTGGCCATGGATTTAGTGGAGAACTTTAGTCTCATTGTGCTGCGCTTTTACGACATGCTTGACCAGCGCATTTTAGGTGGCACAAGCGTTGTCGCTAGCATTTGCGCTTCAGGCACAGTGGCGGGCAAGAATTATAGTTTTCATCACGATATTGACATGTTGCTGAGAACGTCTTCATTGCACAATACTGCACCAGTTCATAATTGGCAAACACAGTGGAAAGAGGCTCGACGACGGCAGAGCAAGACGTTAAAATCATGTCTGGAGGAACCAGAACCTTTCTTTAGGCAAATGTCAAACGACATTGAGCGATCCGAAGCAGTAGCATTGATACAATTTGCAGCGAGTACACAGCTGGGCCCCTCGACTGTCAATAAGTCTGAAGATCCTCCGTTGTGGTTCATTCCTCCGTATCAAGTGCAGCTAGGCCGTCACATTGCGGATGGTTCTTTCGGAGCTGTTCACGAAGGAGAATGGCTAGATACGGATGTGGTCGTGAAACAGGTTCTTTTAGATCCCTCCGATAAGGAAAACTGGGAACAATTTCGTCACGAAGCGGATTTGTGGTTCTCATTGAATCATCCGAATTTAATCAAACTTTACGGCGCATGTCACCAAGGGCGACCGTTTTTCGTATGTGAGCCAGCTAGTCGTGGAACTCTGGCGTCGTATTTGAAAGGGAAGAATCGACGTTTAATCTGGTTTGCCATCAGCGATGTTGCTTTGGGTTTGCAACATCTTCACGACCGTGGAATCATTCATGGGGATCTCAAGGGTAATAATATTCTTGTTTGTGATAATACCGAGGGGTTGTCTACGGCAAAGTTGGCGGATTTTGGGTTAAGTATCGTCGTGAACCACATAGAGGCCCCAGCTAATGACGAAAATGGTGCATTGGGAGCTTTTCGGTGGAAGGCGCCGGAGTGTTTGCTTGGTGCTCGACCGACTTTCGCGTCGGACATTTATTCGCTTGGCATGTGCATCATCGAGGCAATTACGGGACAGTATCCGTGGGGGAATACGATGCCGGACTCGGTAGTAGTCCGCAATGTGGCAGAAATGCAGTCTCTTCCGCCACGACCTGAGTGCATGAACGATGACGAGTGGCATCTAGTAACTCGCATGTGTCGTTATGAACCTCATCGTCGGATTCCAATTGGAGCGATCATTAACTGTGCGTTCAATTTTACATCTAAAAAGTGGTAAAAACAGTAAAACAATCATATTTTTTACCGGGGGACATCACATTATATCGTTCCAAAATGTCGACTGAGTTACATTACAGGTAACATTAGGAGACCTTCAACGAACAATCTGCTTGGACGACCTTCGTTCAACTTGTCGCGCGTGCCTTATGCACCGCCTGAGCGGACAATGAGCGGATGAGCGGACGAAGAAAACCGGTTTTTCTCTCCCCCACTTTCCTTTCCCATTTCAAGAAAGAGCGACGGGGATTCGTATTGCTCTTCCAGCGCAATACACGACGTGCTCCGGCCAACATCAACAGAAGTCGTCAAGCATGACGACTTCAAAAGCCGCGGCGTCATGGGTGCGCTGAAGCTTGAAGTGATTGCGAGTTATTTCGATCAAGATGACGACGAAATCGATCCGTACGTCGTTTGTGAGGGAGTCTCCGTTACTGCATTCAATAAGTATGTTGGGGACGGCGAAGGACTGCGGATTCCACTTCGATTTTTCGTCCTCTATGATGGGCGTATCGTGATTGTCGAACTTCCAACGGAAGTGCATGAGAGTACTGCGGCAGAATTCACGAGCAAATTCCTCGGTGCGGCAGGAAATGAAGACGAGATAGGAAAACGTGGCTAGATGACAGCGAGAAGAGCTGCCAACCCGAACAAGGAGGCCGATGCAACATTTAGATCGACGCTGAACCGAACACCACTTCCGACACCTCGCACCGTTGCTAATTGGGTGACATAGGCTGCAAGACAAAATTCATGACGACGCGCAGATCGACAACGGCGGTTGCATTTACACCAGTTGGGAGCGCTTGATTCGCAGGGATCGACAAGATCCGGCGCATGTCGAAGGAGACATTGGCAGCAGCTCCAGCAGCGTTGTGTCGAAATGTTCCACTTGCAGTTGGCGCTGGCAGAGTGCCAAGTACGGCGATGTCATAAAGCGCGTATCGCGTTTGAATACCTTGAGGACTGATTTTCAACAGCAGAATATACTGGATTCCACTGTAATTGCACCACCATTGAGCTGCTGCTTCCAGACTCGCCCAAGTCTGAGATCTTCCAACCTCCACTGCCTATGTCACCCAATTACCAACGGTGCGAAGTGTCGGAAGTGGTGTTCGGTTCAGCGTCGATCCAAATGTTGCATCGGCCTCCTTGTTTGGGTTGGCAGCTCTTCTCGCTGTCATCGAGCCACGTTTTCCTATCTCGTCTTCATTTCCTGCCGCACCGAGGAATTTGCTCGTGAATTCTGCCGCAGTACTCTCATGCACTTCCGTTGGAAGTTCGACAATCACGATACGCCCATCATAGAGGGCGAGAAATCGAAGTGGAATCCGCAGTCCTTCGCCGTCTCCAACATACTTATTGAATGCAGTAACGGAGACTCCCTCACAAACGACGTACGGATCGATTTCGTCGTCATCTTGATCGAAATAACTCGCAATCACTTCAAGCTTCAGCGCACCCATGACGCCGCGGTTTTTGAAGTCGTCATGCTTGACGACTTCTGTTGATGTTGGCCGGAGCACGTCGTGTATTGCGCTGGAAGAGCAATACGAATCCCCGTCGCTCTTTCTTGAAATGGGAAAGGAAAGTGGGGGAGAGAAAAACCGGTTTTCTTCGTCCGCTCATCCGCTCATTGTCCGCTGCACAGTCTGAGTCAGACTGTGCATAAAATGGCATTGAGCGTACCCCTACACACCCTAAGAGAGAGCGATGATGTACTATATAGTGCATTTGAGAACTCCGTGTGTATTATTTGAGTTAGACGTTATTTCGCTGATCACTGAACAACTCCAGGACGGCAAATGATGTAGTTAGTTCTGGGGAGGCTGCGTCGTTGGCTGAGGGCAAGGACCGTCGGACGCCTTGGCGATGCCATTGTTAGGATTTTTGCAGCTGGCGATGCCCAGGAAGCACGAGTTGCTGTACGTGACACCGTCCGTACCGCACACAGGTTTGTACTCATCAGGGCAAATCTGAGCGCACTTGGAGGCACCGCTACCGCTGGAAGTTGCGCCCTCCTTCTTAAGGTATTCCTCCAAGGCCTTTTGTCCCTCTTTGTAACCTGGCATGCCGGGCATAAGTTGAATGCCCGGGCCTTCTTGGAACTTGTAATTTGGGTCCACGGTGTACGGATGGAACGTCGTGTATTCGTTGTTGCTGCCCGATGAAGCAACAGAGCCCTCCAGGAACTTCATTGCTTGCTTTAGCTTCGGGTCATTGTCACCCGGCACCTGGGGACCAGGACCCACGAGAAACTTCGGATCTTGGGTCGGCATGGTCTTCGGGTCGACAGTGAGAGTGTTGCTTGAGTCAGCGGTCTCCAACTTGCGGCCGTTGCCACTGATACTCGATGCGCCTATACTTTTCAGGTATTCCTCAAACTTCTCCTTAGCCGCCGCGTAGCCAGGCATGCCGGGCATAAGTTGAATGCCCGGGCCTTCTTGGAGCTTGTAATTTGGGTCGACTGGCTGAGGGGTTAATGTCTCGTAGTAGCTGCCGCTACCAGAAGCCGGTTGAGAGCCTGGCAGGTCCTGCAGAGCCCTCTTGATGTTGGGGTTGCTTCCACGGAGAACCGCTGTATCAACACCAGTAATCGTGGCAGGATCGGCGTTGTTGGCCGGATCGGCAGAGACACCAGAGACTGCGACGGCTGCAAGGACTACTCCAGCGGCGAACTTCATGTTTCGAGTTGAGTGGAGGGATACCGGAGGGGGACTGTGGGTGGGGTGTTGCTCGCAAATTTAAGAATGCAGCACTCCCAGAGCACCAGTGCGCATGAGGGCTTTCTGATTACATGTTTCCTTGGACGCATCAACTTTTCCATGATCATTACAATCTTCAGGACCCAAGGCTCAGGTAATCTAATCCAGTACAGTGTACTGTATAATGTTCACGTGTGGTGAGGTTGGCCATTGCAGGTGGCTTCAGTGAAGCAGTATTTGTGACGGTACAGCACTCTCGTGGCCTTGTAGGCGATATTGCCATCATCAGTATCTTATTGGCACATTAAAGCGATAACTCTTATGTTTCGTCTGGGCTACCAACTTTCCACTTCACTTACGGTTCGAAGAGAAACTTCGACCTGTCGTGTTCGCTTGCGGATCGCATCATCACCCGAAAAAAAAGTTATGATGAACGATATCGGTGTCCAAAGTAAATGAACATCATTTTGCCTGTCTTTCCCAGATCAAAACCAAAGTACTGTCCTAACGTTAGTACGACTAATAGTACTTCCATTTCCTCTGTCACTCTACCTAGCATTTATAGTTACTACTTTGAAGTACTACTAGATCGTCTTAGTAGTAGTTTTTGGACAAGAAATCGTTTTGAATGAGACTAAACAAATTGGTCAAACGTTGACTATCAGTCGCATCGTAATGGGAAACGAACTGATGCTTGTCAGCAGCTTCTACTGGTAGTACTTAAGTACTAATGTAGCTACCGGTTGCCAAAAAAAGTCTTAGAATGCGTGTGAATTGATTAGCCTGTTAAAGCGTTCAATAGATGACACTTCATGAAAAAGATACTCAACGAGTTAGTTTTGGGTAGACTGCGTAGTCTGCTTGGCGCAAGGACCCTCCGAGACCTTGGCGATGTGCTTGTCGGGGTTCTTGCAGCTAGCAATGCCCAGGAAGCACGAGTTGCTGTATGTGACGCCGTCCGAGCCGCACACAGGGTCATACACATCGGGGCAAACCTCGGGGCAGTTGGAGGCACTGCTGCCGCTGGCGCTAGTAGATGCGCCTTCCTGCTTGGTGAACTCTTTCCAGGCCTTGTTGAACTGAGCATTTTGGCCATAGCCACGCATGCCAGGGAGCACAACAGGGCCGAGACCCTCGTACATCGCAGGGTCTAGTGGAGGAGCAGTCTTTGTGGTATCAAGCGTGGTAGTGGTGCCCGATTCTTTCGAAGCCAAATCGTTCATGGCCTTCTTTGCGTCGGGGCCAGCAGGGGTCATGGGACCAAGGCCCTCGAGATACTTCGGGTCTTGGGTCGGCAGCGTGTGGGGATCGATGGTATAGTAGTTGCTGCCACTCGATGCATCGTGCGAGCCTTCCAGCGACTTCATAGCTTCCTTAAGCTTCGGGTTGTCGCCGGCGGGGGTCTGAGGGCCAAGACCCTCGAGATACTTCGGGTCTTGGACCGGCAGGGACTTGGGGTCGACTTGGAAGGTGTTAGTAGACTCGGCAGCCTCCAAAGCACGCGTTTTGCCATTGTTAGATCCACCTTCCTTCTTCTGGAATTCCTCCCAGGCCTTGTTGGCCGCGTCGTTCTTGCCGTAGCCTGGCATGCCAGGGAGCAAGGCAGGACCGGGACCAAAACCAAACTTAGGGTCGTACTTGGGCAGATCGCGAGGGTCGACCGTGTAGTAGTTGCTGCCACTCGAGGCATCATGCGAGCCTTCCAGTGACTTCATAGCCTCCTTGATCTTCGGGTTGTCGCCGGCGGGCGTCTGTGGGCCAAGACCCTCGATATACTTTGGGTCTTGGACCGGCAGGGACTTGGGGTCGATTTGCGTGGTGGTGGACTCAGCGCAAACACCGGCGACCGCGACAGCGGCAAGAACAAGTCCAGTGGCAAACTTCATCTTTCAAATTGGTAGAGTGATGTGCGGGGGCCTCGCAAATTCGAGAATGAAAGCTTCAGTCCAGCACCATCACACAGTTCCCCAACTTAGCTCTTTTAATAAAGCACCACAAGTAGATGTAAACACAGTACGTTCTATCCAGATTATCCTCGGGATTGTCATGATTGTGGGGTTGGAGGAGTTGACGCAGAGGAATCGGGAAACCTGCGCCTCCACGAGTTGTGGCGTTTGCATGGTTCGGACAGAAAAACATGGTGCCATATTGAGTTACATCATTCGAGCATGCTGTCGCTGGGAATGATCAATCCACGAGCGAGCTACATGTGATCAGTGCTTTATAAATGGATGCTGTGTGTATGGATCCCATGAACGCACATCATCTGTCGTAAATTTGTCGCACCAACGTGGCAGAGCCTCCGCCAGAGGCGACAAACGACAGCCAGCTCTTCGGCTGTATTTACGCACGTGTACCAACACTCGGGTCAAATCGCACGATCCTGTTGAGCCGGGACGGGTTCATCGTTCACTTGTGCGTGGAGCGAATACCTGTAACTTACACTGTAAGTATTACAGTTTTATATCAATAAAGCAGCATCAATTAATACATGAACTGTCCCGTGCAGTGGACGCTGCGTCATTATGAACACTTTAACAATCTTGCTACACTGTTCGGAGATATGCCTTTGGTATTTCTTCACAGCAAGTACATTCCAGAAGGTTGAGATTTGGACAGGGTTATCTGCCATTACTGTAGTATATTTTCCGAAACATTGAGGAATGTAGTAACATGGAATCAGCCAGATTTCACTTACTCATTCCTTTCTTTCCGTCTCACGAATTGTGTGACGGTATAATCCGGTAAATCGCTAATCCTTCACGTGATCAGCCAATCCCCCCCCCC